CGAGAAGGAAGCCAAGGTAGGGCGCGCACATCTTCAGCCCAACCAACCCCCACTCCGGCACGAGCTCGGCGATCTCAGCGCGGAGCCGCTGGAGGCCAGTTCCGATGGGCGGGGCAAAAACCGTCTTCGATACGTTCAGCACGAGGCCGGAAATGCTCGCGAACTCCTGGAAGACCACGGCCAGCCCCCGGATGGAGCCCCTCCGCTCGCGCAGCCTCACGGCGGCGTCGTCGGCGCACGCCCGACTGAACGAGTCACAGCGCCAGCGGATCGCGACGAGGAGCAGATCGGACGCGGCAGCCAGCAGGAGGGAGGATAATGGGCAGCCCTGCCCGATGCCCCTGGCGGGAGGTCATCACCGGAAATGATTCCGCTGGGCCGGAGGGGGAGCGGAAACCGGAACCGGAAACCGGAATCGGAAAACGGAAAACGGAAAACGGAAAATAGCGATGAAGGAAGCGGAGGCCGACGGCAGACGACAAGAATCGGAAAACGGAAAAGGGAAAACGGAAAACGAAGAAGAAAGACGCGGAGGGCGACGGGAGAGCACCGGAATCGGAAAACGGAAAACGGAAAGCGGAAACCGGAACCGGAAAACGGACACGGGAAACAGCGAAGAGGGGAGCGGAGGCCGACGGGATACCACCGGAATCGGAAAACGGAAACGGAAAAGGAAAACGGCGCAGAAAGACGCGAGAGACCACGGGAGAACACCGAAACGGAAAACAGGAAACGGAAAACGGAAACCGGAACCGGAAACCGGAAACCGGAAAACGGAAAGCAGAAACCAGAAAACAGCGAAGAGGGAGCCGAGAGCCGACGGCAGACCACCGGAATCGGAAAACGGAAAACGGAAAACGGAAAACAGCGAAGAAGGAAGCGGAGGCCGACGGCAGACGACAAGAATCGGACAACGGAAAAGGGAAAACGGAAAACGGAGAAGAAAGACGCGGAGGGCGACGGGAGAGCACCGGAATCGGAAAACAGAAAACCGAAAACGGAAACGGGAAACAGCGAAGAGGGGAGCGGAGGCTGACGGGATACCACCGGAATCGGAAAACGGAAACGGAAAAAGGAAAACGGCGCAGAAAGACGCGAGAAACCACGGGAGAGCACCGGAACGGGAAAACGGAAAACGGAAAACGGAAACTGGAACCGGAAACCGGAAACCGGAAAACGGAAAGCAGAAACCGGAAAACAGCGAAGAAGAAGCCGGGAGCCGACGGCTGACCACCGGAATCGGAAAGCGGAAAACGGAAAACGGAAAATGGCGTAGAAAGACGCGTGTGCCCACGGGAAAGCACCGGAACCGGAAAACGGAAAACGGAAAACGGAAACCGGAAACCGCAACCCGAAAACGGAAAACGGAAACCGGAAACCGGAAAACGGAAACCGGAAAACGGAAACCGGAAACCGTAAAACGGAAACCGGAGAACGGAAAGCGGAGAACGGAAAACGGAAAACGGAAAGCGGAAACCGGAAAACGGAAACCGGAAGACGGAAACCGGAAAGCAGAGAACGGAAACCGGAAAACGGAAAGCGGAAACCGGAGAACGGAAAGCGGAGAACGGAAAACGGAAAACGGAAAGCGGAAACCGGAAAACGGAAACCGGAAAACGGAAATCGGAGGAGGAGGAGGAGGAGGAGGAGGAGGAGGAGGAGGAGGAGGAGGAAAAGGAGGAGGAGGAGGAGGAGGAGGAGGAGGAGGAGGAGGAGGAGGAGGCCTCCCTTCCTCCTCTCTCCCTCCTGGTTTCCCCCCCGTCCCTCCTCCCTCCCCGTTCCCTTTGCCAGGCTTCCTCCCTCCCTTCCTCCTGCCTCCCTCCTCGTTGATCCTGCCCTCACCTCCCTGTCTCCCTCCTCGTTCCCTCCTCCTCCTCCTCGTCCCTCTTCCCGAGCGGGGCCGGCGCGCGGGCCGGCCAGACCGAAGGACAACGACGACGACGACGACGACGACGACGACGATCGCGGCGGCGGCGGCGACGGCGATGGCAGCGGCGGAGGAAGACCAAAGGGGGCGAGGAGGAGGAAAGGGGGGAGGAGGGAGGGGGGATCGCACGGGCGTTGGCGTGTTCGGGGGGCCCACGGCGGGAACCCGAAGAGCTTCCCTTGGGTGAGCCACCCACAAGCACACGGTGGCCACAGATGGAGGCCCAGCACGATGCACCCAATTGGATGCCCAAAAAGCTGCCCAGAGAAGGCGCCGTGCTTAATATGGTTCCGCTGCAGGACTCCTTGGGTGGGGCACCCGCAAGTCCACGGAGGTTTCAGGGAAGAACCCCAGGAACCCTGGAGAAAAGCATGAGGGGCCTGGAAACCCATTGAAGCCCAAAGAAAAATTTAAAAGGGGCAAAGAAAAATTTAAAAGGGGCCCGAGACGGGGCTCTGGGGCGGGGCTCCTTGGGTAGGCCACCCATAAGCCCTCGCAGGCCCCAGGAAAGGACCCAAGGAGCCCCCAACAGTGTTTCGAAGGAGCCTCCAAGCGGGGGCTCAAGGAGCACCAAAGAGGGCCCCGCGAGGGGCTCACGAGGCACCGCGGTGGGGCTCCATGGGTGAGCCACGAGGGATCCCACGCATGCCCCAGAGAAGGCGCCCAAGGAACCGCCAATACGGGGCCCACAAAGCATCTAAGCGGAACCCCCTTGAGCGCGAAAGACGAAGTGACGGAAGAGGAGAGACAACGGGGGGAGGAGGGGGAGGAAGAGGAGGAAAACGACGATGGGAAGGAGGAGGACGACGGCGATGGTGACGATTGCGACAAGGTTGCGACGCATGTCGCACTGCACACCCTGGCAGCGCACTCGTCGCGCCGCCATGTCCCATCTGGGGCCCCTGGGGTTCTGCGCTCGCGGCCCCCCTCATGAGCTCGCCGCCGCCTGGGCCGCCGCCACTGCAGGCGCCCCTGCCGGCGATGGGGGCTGCGGCACGGGGGCGGCGCCGGCCGGCGCCCCTGCCGGCGCTTCTGGCTGCGGCACTGGGGCGGCGCCAGCGAGGTCGCACATCCTGTCGGCCGCCGCAAGCCCTGTCACGCCCAAACACGCGAAAAACATACGCCGACGGGGCACGGGCACACCCAGTGAAACGGCACTCGGGGGCCCAAAAAAAAAGCTTGATGCGGCTTGTGGAAGTCGGGATAATTTTTGAAGCAGCCTTGGCTTGGCGGGAGGGCCCCGGTGGCCGGTCCCCGCGGCCGGAGCGGCGTGCCAGATGTTCGAAACAAGTGTTTTTTTTTCCAAGACCGAAGGCCGAAAGGGCGTCAAAAGTGGACCGTCGACCCTGGCCACTGGCGTCCTGTCGAACGAGCTCAAGTCGAAATTCGAATTCTCCTCGCGGCTCTCCTGCCCCAGCCTCGCCAGAACGGCCGGTTTGTTCACCTGGAAGATTGTGGCCAGGCGGTCTGCGACGTGTTCCCTGTGGCCCGTCGGGGGCTTCAACAAGGTGACGGACCCGTTGTTGGCGCCAGTCTTCGCGAGCCCAAAGCCCTTCAGGACCTCCGAACGAAAGAGGGACCACGCGCGAGGGAGCTCAACCCCAGTGGCGCGGGCTGGCCAGGCCCGCGCGGACGAACGGGCTCCGGCAAAAATTGCGGCGGGGCGCGGTCCAACAGGACCATCTGGGCCGGGGTGCGAGAAAACCCCACAGACTTGGAAGTTCGAAAGTTGTACTGGCGAGGGCGCCATGGGGGGCCGGCCAAAGAAGGCGACCCTGCATGGCCCGCAAAGGCAGGGAGGGTTGCCTCCTCGTCCTAATCTTGCGGCCAGAATGATATTCGGAACTGTCACGGGATTAATCGTCAGTTCGCGGAACGTTCTCCCAATCGGAACCTTGACGGCGCAAGTGACGGCGCGCTCCTTCTCCGACCCCTCCAGCGAGGAAGCGAAATTGCTGGCGAGCTTGCCGTTGTTATGCTGGTTTGTCCTTCCAGCGGCAGCCGCAAACAATGCCTCCGCTCAGGGTCCACGGGCGAGGAGAACCCCCCCCGTCCTGTTCCCGCCGGAAATGTTTTTCCTTGGGCCCTGGAGATGCAAATGTCGGGATGCTGCCTCGGCTGGCGCTGCCCCAGGGCGGCTCGCCTATCGTCGCCCCGGCCCCCCCTCCCCGCTCCCAGTCGCCCACGACAACTCCTTGGCCCGGCGAGCCAGATGAGGGCCAGATGGGGGCACCAAAGGACCTCCATCGAGCGCGGGCTCCAGCCCAGCGGGCAGAGCAACCCAGTGGCAGAGCGCCCCCGCCCACGCGGTCTGAAACCTCGAAACCGCGGCAAGGAACAAATCAAAAGCAGTCCTGGTGGTCACGAGCATTTTCAACATGGGCGTCAGAACCTCCTTGTACTTGGACATCGTAGTCTCGTTGGCCCCCACGGCAGGAACAGCTCGCCGTCGTAGTTTGCGAACGGGCCCCTCTTCGGCGACGCCGGCAGCGGCGGCGGTGCCGTCGGCAGCGGCCGCGAGCGAGGCCTTGGCGGCTATCTGAGCGGCTTGCGATGCGAGGGACTCCCGCGGGAAAGGATCTGGAGCAGACTGGATCTGGCGCTCGGCGATGTCATTCCCGGCGATGAACTGCGCGACCAACTCGACCAGGCCGTCAGCTGCGCCTTCCGCTCGCGCACCGCTGGAGGTACGACTGCCGACCGGGGCGAGCCGGGCCACGCCTTCCATGTCAGTGCCCGCGTCAATGCGGGACAACCGGTTGCTCGCTCGGAGGAGGCCTGGGGACCCGGACTCAAACGTGTTCAGGTGCATCTTGCCATCGTCGATGTCAAGGAACCCGCACAAAGCTAGAAGTCCAACCTTAGCTTTCATCAGAAGGATCGCGTCCTACCAGGGGGTGCTGAATAGCCCCCGCCCGCCCCCCCCCGCCCTTCCGCCCTGGGCCTCTCCTCGTTGCCTCCGCCCATCAGCTGCATGCTGCCGCGGCCCCTTGACACGCCCCCAGGGCCTCTGCTTCTCGCAGAGGCTCAATGCCCCACCCAAAAAAATCTGCGTGGACAGCCCATTTGGACCTCATCGCCCGTCCTCGGAAGTGTCGGGGTCACCGCAGAATTCCGCCCAGGAGAATCGCTTGTGGACCAGCTGGCCGCGCGCCCCGTAGACTTTGAGCGGGAATTCAGCGGACACCTCGCGAAGGAGAGCAAAGAGCACGTGTGCCCGCGGCTGGTGGAGAGTGCCCAGTTGGTCGCGCCGCTCGCGGAACCGTGAGATCACGTCTGGCATGGAGGCTAGAAGCCCGCACTGCTTCTCGAAGAACGCGCCCAGGGCCTCCCCCGCCTCAACCGCATAGGCAGGAATCCTGTCAAGGAGGGCCCCTGACCGGCAGGAGGGGCGAAGAGAGGAGAGGAGGAGGAGGAGGAGGAGGAGGAGGAGAAGCAGCAGCAGCAGCACGAGCAGGAACAGGAAGAGGAGGAGGTAGAAGAGGATGGGGGCCAGGAGGAGAGGGACGAGGAGGCACGGGCGAAAGAAAAGGGGGGAGTAGCGATGCGCGGCAGAGGCGAGAGAGAGAGAGAGAGAGAGAGAGAGAGAGAGAGAGAGAGAGAGAGAGAGAGAGAGAGAGAGAGAGAGAGAGAGAGAGAGAGAGAGAGAGAAAAAAGAAAGAAAGAAAGAAAGAAACAGAGAAGAAAGAGAGTGAGAGAGAGAGAGAGAGAGAGATGAGAGAGCGAGAGAGAGAGAGAGCGAGAGAGAGAGAGAGAGAGAGAGAGAGGAGAGAGAGAGAGAGAGAGAGAGAGAGAGAGAGAGAGAGAGAGAGAGAGAGAGAGAGAGAGAGAGAGAGAGAGAGAGAGAGAGAGAGAGAGAGAGAGAGAGAGAGAGAGAGAGAGATGAGGAGAGAGAGAGCGAAGAGGAGAGAGACGAGAGACAAAACATTGATGGGAGGATTGCGGGGGGGGTCTGGGTCTCTTACCTGGGCACGAACCCGCAGCCTGCCCAGCGAGCTGTCTTGCGTTTCAGGCGCACCCCGTTCTACTCCTCCATGTTAGCATCCCCCCCTTTTCGCCTATGCTCCTGTTCCCGATCCTGTTCCTGCCCCCCCTCCTCCTCAGCCTCTGCCTCCTCCGCGCGCGCCCCCCTCGGCGCCAGAGAAACGGCGGAGAGACAGCTCCACGAGGAGTTCGAGAGTGCCTTGCGGCGGGGCTCCTTGGGTGGACCACCCGTAAAGCCACGGAGACTTCTGGAGGAGACCCAAGGAGCCACCGAGAGGGGGCCCAACGAGCACCCAATGAGCTCTAACATTTACCCCCAAGAAGAGGGGCCCCAGAGGGACTCGCGGCGCGGCTCTTTCTGAGTGGGCTACCCACAAGCGCACGGGGGCTTCAGTAGAAGCTCCCAGGATCCCCAAGAGAAGGCCCGAGAACTCCCCAAGAAGGGCTCCAATGAGCCTTAAACTCGGCTTGGAGAACCCCGGGAGGGTTCGCGGCGGGGCTCCTTGGGTGGGCCAAAAACAAGCCCACGGAGACTTTGGAGGCCGACCCAAGGAGCCCCCGAACAGAAAAACAAAGAGCCCCCAAGAGGGGGCCGCATTAGCCACATAGAGGGCTCCCAGACCTGCCGGGGAGGGACCCGCGGCGGGGCTCCATGCGCCCGCGGGGGCTAAAAGGGGGGGGCCCAGGGTGCCCTACAGAGAGAACCAAAGAGCCTCCAATAGGGGCCCCAATCAGCCAAGGAGGCCCCCTGAAAAACGCAACAGAGCCCCGCGGCGGGGACCCTTGGGCGGGCCACCTAGAAACCAACGCGGATCCGACGAAGAACCGCCCGGAGCTCCACTGGGAGCCCGAGGGGGCCTCCAGGAAAGGGCGGGGGCCACGCGGACCAGGAATAACACCGCCGAAACTTCGGCGGGGCCAGCACGCCCGGCATCCTGGACGGGATGTCCGTCACGACGAACGAACCAAGGACGTTGTCGATGTCGACCCTGGCGATTTGCTCCACAAGCTCCTCAGGCGAGTACTTGGACGGGTCCACCTGCACGCCCCGGAACACTAAATACTCGATGGCTTTCTCAAGGAGCGCCGCCGCGGGGAGAAACTGCAGCGGGCGAGTCTTGTCCTTGGACAGCTTGGATGCGTCAACGCGGCTCCCCAGTCTCTGGAAAGCTGCAGCGATCTTCTCCGCTGACTCGTTGAACTTCTTTGCGAACGAGTTCTCGACGCCGGGTTCCCATGCCATGACGTGCTGCCCGGACATGTTGCTGAACATGTTCCTGTTCCCCCTCTCGCCCTGCCTTTCCACGTTCATCTTGTGCAAGCCCTCCATCAGCAAGAGCGGGTGCACCACGCTCTTGACGGCGTCGTCCAATGACAACTCATTGAAATAATCCTCCGAATTCTGAACCAACTCTGCCAGCTCCTCTTCGGAACCCTCTGGCAAAACTTTCTTGCAGACGGCGGGAAAGTGACAGTACAGGAACCTCTGCATTCCCGCCACGGAATCCTTGGGGTTGCCCCTTGCTTGCTGCAGGATGGGGACGATCTCATCCATGTGGGTCGGGATGAAGCAAACGAGGTGGGGATTCTCCACTCGAAAACGGCTCTCCTTGTTACTCGGGGCGTTCTTGAAGAACGCGTGCTCCGCAATCTGCGGGCGCGCGTGGGGGGGGGATTAAGCACGCCGCGGCGGGGGTGGGCAGTGGGCGGACCCCGGGCCACTGGCTGGGCGAAGCTGGGCGGAGCCCAAGCAAGGCGGCGCGAGTGCCGCCGTCGCCGCGAGCGCGACTGGCGCCGCGCCCCTTCCCGTCACAACTTGAACCACCCCATTTCCGGCCCGCCCCCTCCCCGCCCCCCCCGCATATGGGGGGGGCGGCCGCCAGAGCGCTGGGGGCATGGGCGACGCCTGGGCGACGCCTGGGGGGCAAACTTGGGACACGCACTGCGCAGGCCTGGTTCAAGTCGCCCACGCTTCCAGCAACGCCTCCTTCGAGAAGTTTGTTCAACCACTTGCCGCCCTCATGCTCGATGAGGAATGCCACCCCGTCATTGCCCTTCATCTGCACACCAAGGCCAACCATGGAGCCAGAATCGTAAAGCTTTTCCCACGCCGGCTCTGGACCAGGCTCTGGGACCGCTTCGCTGGGATCTCTGCCATTGGCCTTCCACTCATCGTACGCATCCTTGCGGTCCTTCCACTCCTCCAGGCGAGGCTCGAGGTTCTTCTTCCGCCAGTAGTGCATCACCTGAGTGTCGAACCACAATGCAACCGACTTCCCGTCGCCGGACGCCCCGTGGGCGTTGATCATGATATTGGGGAACACGCCCAAGATGCCGCTGTAATGCACCTGGAACCACCAAGAGTGGCATAAGGCAGCGGGCCAGGACAACCAAAAAAAAACTCACCCCTGCATTGGTCAGGGCAACCCGTTCGACGAAAAGGCGGCCCCAAATCGAAAAAGACCTACGCAACATCGCCCCGCGGCGAGTTGATAACTGACCTTGGCAACCCCCGAAAGGATCTGGCAAGGCCGAGGAGCGCCCCGCGGCGGTGCTCCTTGGGTTGGCCACCCAAAAGCCGACGGAGGCCTCAAGCAAGGGCCCAAGGAGTCTCTGAAACTGGACCCGAGAAGCCACCCTCAAAAACTCCCCAAGCGAGCCCCGATGGGAGGCCGCATGGGGCCTCGCGGGGGGAGGGGCCCTTGGATGGGCCACCCACTAGGCCACGGAGGCTCCAGGAAACGACCCGAGGAGCCCGGAAGACAGGGCCCGGTGGCCCCCCCAAACCGAGCCAATATGCCCCACCGGGGGGGCCCGAGAGAAACCTGAAAGGGCTCCGCGGCGGGGTGTCTCGGGCCGGCCGCGCACAGCCCGCGGAGGCCACAGGAGGCGACCCCAGGAGACCTGAAGAGGAAGCACAAGGAGCCCCCAGGAGGGGCCGCGCAGAACCCCAAAGTGGGGGGCCGAGAGGCCGCCCCCCGTAGCACCGCCCGAAAATGTGCCACCAACAAAAAACAAAAGTCGTAGAAGCCACCTTGACGGCATTGAGCGGAAGAGAAGCCATCGCGAACAGGTGCGTGTAGGCGCAGCCGGCGTCGACGGAAAGCCCGCGGCCCAATGCCTCAGCCAACTTCCACGTCAGCGGGGTAGCAGCGGCAATGCGGCCGCTGGGGAAAGGGCACTCGTTCTCGAGGATTTTGTACCTCGAAGGCGATTCCCAAAATCATCGGGGTCGCGTTTGCGGGCTAGGCCCCTGCAGTTTGTGGTCGTCGTGGACAGGAGCCGGCGCTGGGCCCTTTTTGGGGGGCTGTTGGAGCACTCCTGCAGTTCTCTCGGGGCTATCTTGGAGCCCTCTGGGGGCTTCCTTGGAGCCCTCGGGGCTCCAAGAGGGCTCCCGGAAGGCTCTAAGAGGGCCCCGAGACGGGGCTCCTTGGGTGGGCCGTGCGAGAGCGCATGGAGGCCCCAAGAGGGGACCCAAGGAGCCCCCAATAGGGAACCCAAGGAACTCCCAAGAGTGCTCCCAGGGGGCTCCAAGAGGGCCCCCAGAGAGTGCCAAGAGGGCCCCAAGACGGGGCTCCTTGGGTGGGCCGTGCAAGAGCGCATGGAGGCCCCAAGAGGGGACCCAAGGAGCCCCCAAGAGGGAACCCAAGGAGCTCCCCAAGAGGGCTCCCAGGGGGCTCCAAGAGGGCCCCCAGAGAGTGCCAAGAGGGCCCCAAGACGGGGCCCCTTGGGTGGGCCGTGCAAGAGCGCATGGAGGCCCCAAGAGGGGACCCAAGGAGCCCCCAAGAGGAGCCCCCCAAGAGGGCCCAGGGAGCCCCCTAGAGGGCTCCCAGAGGGCCGAGAGGGCTCAAAGAGAACCCTCAGAGGGATCCAAGAGCCTTCTTAGAGGGCCCAACAACTTGTCACGAAAAAGGGCCTTGTTCGTGACAGGTTGTTGGGCTTTTGACGACTTCGGAGGGGCCCAAGAGGGTCCCGCGGCGACTCCAGAGGGCCCCAAGACGGCTCCAGGCGGCTCCAGAGGGCCCCAAGACGGCTCCAGAGGGCCCCAAGACGGCTCGTAGTTCTCCTCCTCCTTCTCCTCCTCCTCCTCCTACTCCTCCTCCTCCTCCTCTGCCTCATTAGGATGCGTGCGACCCAGGAGCGGGGACGCAAACACCAGACAAAAGCAGACGGAGGAGAAATCGCACAGTGGCGCCAGCTCGAACCGTATTGTCCAGCGAGCACAGGCTAGAGCCAAGGGGCGCTGTGGCAGCACAGTGGACCCGTGAGGCCGCACCGTCAAACTCGACGAGGAGGCGAGAGAGCAAGGACAGGCGGCGGGGGCAGGAACGCGCGGGCAGAAGAGGGGGAGCCGAGGAAGCCTTACTCACTTGGACTCCTGGGTGCGATCTGACATGAGTCACCGACCACTGCACGGAGACGTCGATCCAGTCGCGGAGTCCAAACCCTGCGACTGCCTGACCCAGAGTGTCGGGGGGGACGAGGCAGCAGGCATGGCCGGGCGCCATGGACCACCCTGCAGGAGGGCTGGAGCACTGCCAAAGGATGAACCACTTGTGCGCTAGTGGGGATGCGCGAAGCGTCAAGAATTCATGCTATCCGTAATTTTCCTTTGCTTCGTGCTGTTCATTTCTCTCCTGGTCCTCTTCCTCCTCGACATCCTCGAGGTTATCCTGGGGTTGTCGCGTTCAGTTGGTTTTGGAAGTGGCACCCCAACATGGAATCGGTCTTCGAAAAGCACGTGTCGTCATCGCCCCTGCCGCGCCCCATCGCCGGAACGCTATTGGAAGCTCCAATCTAAGCGCGCTCGCCACTGCCTCGTCGTCGTCCTCGAAGGTGTGGTCCCGAGCGGTGTGGTTCGAAGGGCCCCCCTACAGATCCCGCACAGGGCTCCAAAGGGCACAGAGGGCCACATCCCTCAGGACAACACTTTCAAGGCCCCCAGGGGAGAAGATGGGCGAGAACGCCCGACTGCCGGCGGCGCGGCAAGGCAACAGCTCACGGCCAATGTGAGCAAACCTGCTTGAAGCAAAATTGCGACTAGGTGGGCGGATTACATCTGAAGGGCCATTCCCCGAGACCTGCACGGAACCCCAAACTCGACCGGGCTCGACTGGGCACCTCTTCCTTCGCCCCCTCCTGCTTTTCCTCGTCCTCGTCCTCCTCCTCCTCCTCGTTTTTGTTTTCCTCATTTTGCTTTTTCTCCTCCCCGTCCTCCTCCGCGTCACGGGCAGGGGCGCCCGTGTCTGTTAGGCGACGCCCTCTCCTCCATTTGACTGGCAGCTGACTGGCCTGAAGTGCCGGCTGGAGGTCCGTCCTTGTGCCTCCCCCTTCCGTCCTCCTTCCCGCCATCCTTCCCAAGGAGTGGACGGTGGCCGGCTCCCTGATACGCAGCGTTTTTTATTTAAGGCACCAGCCTGTCTGGGAACCGAGGCCGCGCCGCGACCCCAGAGGTCTCTGAGCAGCACAGGGGCCTCCTTTAGAGGGCAAATCCGCCGCCGTGTCTGCACGGCAATGGCGTATTAATGCCTGTGGGTTGTCCACTAAGGCTTTAGTATTGTTCTGAAGGCCCCACCCGCCCCGGCCGCGGACAGGCGCGAACGCCCGCTCCCCCCCCCCCCTCAGAACAGGTTCAGCACTGGCGAAATCGACCTTTCACCAGCCAGATCGTGTGCACCCCGGCAACCTACGCTCACCCAGCCCGAAAGAATCGATCACCGGCGCAATGGAACTTTCACTGGCTGCCTGAGCTCCCGGTCCCAAACCTCCACAGAACCGCTTCTCATGTCCCGCCGGCACTCCATTGGGGAACCCTTACAGCCTCAATTCCTTGTCGAATCTTGAAGGATCCTGCGGGGTCCCGAAGAATCCTTAGGAATCCCGAGGAATCCTGGAGGATCCTGAAAAAGTCGTGGGGGACCGTGAGGAATCCTCCATGCAGGCCCTATAGAGGCGTATAACGGTATGGACGTGTATGGAGAGCGTGCGTATGCGGAGGTGCATTGGAAAATGGAATATGGACCTGTATGGTGGCATGGAAATGTATGGTGAATTGGAGTTGTATGGGAGTATGGAGGCGCAGGGAGGTGAGGAGGTGTATGGAAGTGTGGTGTTGGGAGGGAGTGGGAAAGTATGGAGTTGGATGAGGAAACGGATATGTCCAGGGCTATGGGGGTGTATGGGGGTATGGGGTGTATAAGGGGTTTGTGCGGGTATGGAAGCAAGGAAGTGCATGGGGGGGTATGGTGGTGTATGGTGGTATGGACGTGCATGGGGCTATGGAGGTGTATGCGCGTACGGAGGTGCGTGGGTGTAGAGAAGTGTACGGGCGTATGGAGGTGTATGGGCGCATGGAGGTGTATGGGACCGTGGAGGTATAGGGGGGTATGAAAGTGTATGGCGGTTTGACGGTGTATGGGAAAATGGATTCGCATGAGGGTACGCAGGTATATAGGAGTATGGGGTTGTATGGGGGTACGGAGCTGTAGAAGGGCATGGGTGTGTATGAGGTTCGGAAGGGTAGGGGGGGTATGGAAGTGTGCGGGGGTACGGAGGTGTATGGGGGTCCGGGGGCGTTTCCATCGGGGCCTGTCGGGATCTCCTTGGGGCTCTCTTCGGCCTTCCCAAGATCTTTGCGGCCTCGTGGGGTGGGGCGACCTGGAAGGCCTCGGCGGGTGCATGCGACGCGCGACGGATTAAAACCAGGGCGCGGTAGGGAGGACGGGGAGGAGAAAGTGCAAGGGAGAGAGAAAAGGATATATATATACACACATATCTATATATATATATAATGATATATATATATATATACATATATATAATCCCACCAGCCCTTCGGGCGTGAGTGGTTTAGAGAGCCCGCTCTGTTCTCAACCCCCACCCCCCCCTTCGGGGAGGGGTTTACCTCTCCCCCCACCCCCTCCCCCTGGGCCTGGAGAGGTCCTTCCGCGGGTGGTCGGAGGGGTCTTTTTCGACTCTTGGGAGGGGTAAAATTCGACACCCCTCACGAGGATCGCGGCCCCGACGGGGGGGGGGGAGAAAAATGCTCGCCCCATCTGTGATCGATCGCCCGAAAGATGGCCCCAAGATACCTCCCAGACCCCTCCCGAAGAGCCCCAAGAGGGCCCTAAGAGCGCCCCGGGAGAGCCCGCAAAGGGCTCCGAGACCTCCAACATATCGCCCAGAAGGCCCTAGTATATCCCCAAGATGTCTCCACATATCGCCAAGAAGGCCCTAGTATATCCCCAAGCACTGCGACAACGACAACGACTACGACTTCTACCGCTACTCCCACCGCTACCACCACGACTCCTACTACAACAACAACAACAACTACTCATACTTCTACCGCTACTGCTACTGCTACTGCTACTGCTACTGCTACTACTACTACTACTACTACTACTACTACTACTACTACTACTACTACTACTACTACTACTACTACTACTACTACTACTACTACTACTACTACTACTACTACTACTACTACTACTACTACTACTACTACTACTACTACTACTACACTACTACTACTACTACTACTACGACTATACTACTACTACTACTACTACTACTACTACTACTACTACTACTACTACGACTACGACTACGACTACTACTACTACTACTACTACTACTACTACTACTACTACTACTACTACTACTACTACTACTACTACTACTACTACTACTACTACTACTATACTACTACTACTACTACTACTACTACTACTACTACTACTACTACTACTACTACTACTACTACTACTACTACTACGACTACTACTACTACTACTACTACTACTACTACTACTACTACTACTACTACTACTACTACTTACTAGCACTACTATAACGACTAAGCACCACTACTACCAACGATCGACTACTACTACTATACTTACTACTACCCATACGGACTACTACGACTTACTTACGACGACTGACGACTACTCTACTACTACTACTGCCCGACTACAACAACAACGACGACCACTACACTTACGAATACGTACTACGACGACTACGAGAGACACTATCAACTAATACTAATTGTTACTA